GAGCTCTTCATAGATGAATTCTTCATAGAGAACTCTTCATAGATTGGATGGCTACAAGCTCTTCAGAAGGGATAGATGAGGGAGGAAAGGTGGTGGTGTGGCCCTTTGTATTAAAGACTGTTTTGATGTTGAAGAGCTTGGGGTTGGGAATGATAAAGTTGAATGTCTGTGGGTAAGGATCAGGGGGAAGGCCTGTAGGGGTGACATCTTGGTGGGGGTCTGTTATAGACCGCCTGATCAGGTTGAAGAGATGGATGAGGCGTTCTAAGAGCAGCTTGTGGAAGTCACGTGATTGCCAGCACTTGTTCTCATGAGAGACTTCAATTTCCCTGATATATGTTGGAAATATAGTACAGCATGGAGGAAGCAGTCCAGGAGGTTTCTAGAGTGTGTGGATGCCCTGCTAGACCTTCTCTTCACTAACAGAGAAGGACTGGTGGGAGATGTGAAAGCTGGGGACTGTCTTGGGCAGAGTAACCAGAAGGGTGACTAGCAAAACTGCTATCTTGAACTTCAAGAGGTTGAACTTTGATCTGTTCAGGATGCTTGTAGCATGGGTCTCCTGGGAGTCACTCCTTAAGGGTAAAGCGGTCCAGGAAACCTGGTTGCTCCTCAAGATGGAAATCTTAAAGACGCAAGAACAGGCTGTCCCTGAGTGCTGTAAGGCTACTGTTGAGAGTCCGGAAGAAAAAGAGAGTCTATGTCCTCTGGAAGAAGAGACAGGCTTCTTGTGGAGATTACAAGGAAGTTGCTAAGATATGCAGGGAGGAAGTTAGGAGGGCAAAAGCCCAAATTTAACTCAGATTGGCCACTGAAGTAAAAGAGAATAAGAAATCCTGGTATAAATATATCAATGGTAAGAGAAGAACCAAGGAGCATTTTCATCCTTTACTTGATGCAGCGGGGAATGTGAGCACTGAGGATAAGGAGAAGGCTGAGGTCCTCAATGCCCTCTTTACATCTGCCTTTAATAGGCAGATCAGTTATCCTCAGGGCACTTTATGCCCTGATCTGGAAGTCTGGGGTGTTACACAGAATACACCCCCAGTGATTCAGGTGGAGACGATTAGAGAGCTCCTCCTCCATCTGGACTGTCACAAGTCCATGGGACCAGATGGGCTTCATCCTAGGGTACTGAGGGAGCTGGCGGAGGTGATTGCTGAGCCACTCTCCGCCATTTACTAGCACTCCTGGTTATCTGGAAAGGTCCCAGAGGATTGGAGCTTGCTGATGTGACTCCCATCTATAAGAAGGTCCATAAGAAGAATCTGGGGAACTACAGGCTTATCAGCCTGACCTCGGTACCAGGGAAAGTTATGGAGCAAATCATCTTGGGTGAGATCATACAGCATGTGCATGGCATCCAGGGGATCAGGCCCAGCCAGCACAGGTTCATGAAAGGCGGGTTGTGCTTGACCAACCTCATCTCCTTCTACGACTGGGTGACCAGACTGATAGACGAGGGAAAAGCTGTTGATGTAGTCTACCTAGACTTCAGCAAAGCCTTTGACACGGTCTCTCACAGGATTCTTCTGGAGAAACTGGCTGCCTGTGGCCTGGACAGGTGTACTCTTCTTTGGGTAAGGAACTGGCGAGAGGGCCGTGCCCAACGGGTAGTGGTTAATGGAGCTAAGTCCAGCTGGCGACCTGTTTCAAGTGGTGTCCCCGGGGGTCGGTACTGGGGCCTATCTTGTTTAATATCTTTATTGGTGACCTAGATGAGGGGATTGAGTGTACCCTCAGTAAGTTTGCAGATGACACCAAGTTGGGAGGAGGTGGTGTTGATCTGCCTGAGTGTAGGGAGGCCCTTTAGAGTGATCTAGATAAGCTGGATCGCTGGGCTGGGGTGAATGGAATGAGGTTCAACAAGGCCAAGTGCCGGGTCCTGCACTTTGGCCACAACAACCCCATGCAGTGCTATAGGCTTGGGGATGAGTGGCTGGATGACTGTGAAGAGGAAAGGGACCTGGGGGTGTTGGTTGATGCTCGCCTGAACATGAGCCGACAGTGTGCCCAGGTGGACAAGAGGGTCAATGGCATCCTGGCCTGCATTAGAAATAGTGTGTCCAGCAGGAGCATGGAGGTGATCATCCCCTGTACTCAGCACTGGTGAAGCCGCACCTAGAGTACTGTGTTCAGTTCTGGGGCCCTCACTGCAAGAAAGACATTGAGGCCCTGGAACGTGTCCAGAGAAGGGCAATGAAACTGGTGAGCACAAGTCTTATGAGGAGCGGCTGAGGGAGCTGGGATTGTTTAGTCTGGAGGAGAGGAGGCTCAGGGGAGACCTCATTGTACTCTACAACTTCCTGAAGGGAGGTTGTGATGAGGAGGGGTTTGGCCTCTTCTCCCAGGCAACACAGGACCACAACAGGCCACAAGTTGTACCAGAGGAGGTTTAGGTTAGACATGAGGAAAAACTTTTTCTCTCAGAGAGTGGTCAGGCACTGGAATGGCTGCCCAGGGAGGTGGTGGAGTCGCCGTCCCTGGCAGTGTTCAAGAGGCATCTGGATGACGAGCTACGAGATATGGTTTAGTAGCTTATGGTAGCAATGGTAGTGGGAGGACAGTTGGACTAGATGATCTTTCAGGTCGTTTCCAACCTTGTGATTCTATGATTCTATGATTCTGTGTCATCTAGTTATCAGGGCATGACTTCTGTTTTCCCTTGTTCAGTGTGCATGTAGGAATGGGCTGGCAGGAGAGAGGATCTGCAACGGGAGAACATAAGAAATACATACCTATGATGACACTTGGCTGTTCCTTTCTTAATTTTCCATGACTGTGGGATAACTAACTGATAATTATCACACACTGTTTCTAGTAAGCTGTTCTATGCTTCAAGAGAAAAATAGGATGTTTTTCATTGGGAACTTATTATGCTAGAAAGGCTGTACTTACTCAAGAAAATATCCTGTTTCTATGTGCATACATCAGTAAGCCCTTATGCAGTCAGCTGAAATCAATAGAAGTCTTTCTTTATGTCTTAAATGATCCCAAGAGCAAATCGAAGTTCAGAATATGTATTAAGGTCATTTGTTTTTTAGTTTTGAGGTTGATCCAGAGTAGAAAAAGGTTTGGGGCAACAGGTTGGTCACAGTGACTTACATTTTTCATCAACTGGTCTCTTAAAGTCAAAAAGATGGTTCGTGAAGTAGTTTGTTATTTTTTCAGTGTCTGTAATAGTCTTAATACAGAATGGGGGATCCATGCTTAAAAGTGAGTGAAACTTCTATTTTGCTGTGATTTAGAATATCCAGATTTCCCTCATGAGATTGATTACATTTTTGTAATATTTTTCATATTTTGAAATGTGAACACTTTTCTGCTTAAAATAATGTAAATCATCAAACCCTGATAGAGCTATGACTGAAACAGCGTATGCTGGCTTTTGACTGGCATGCAGTCCGTATTATTTACTTTCTATTTTATTTTAGAATTAAAAACAAAAACAACACCAAAAAAAAGAACAAAAAACAAACAAACAAAAAAACAAAAAACTATAGATAATGTAATGTTCTATGCATAGATTCCAAAAGTGACAAAATGTTATTTTGATATTTACAAAGTCTGCTCCAAAAGTAATGCATCTTATTTATTTCCATTGAAACTACAACAGATACAAAAAGCAGAATAACACTATGTAATAGAGCAAATTTCAAACCACAAAACATTATTTTTCAACACAATTGCCATCATGATCTATGCATTTTTGACAGCAATAGACAAGAACCTTCTTGCTGCGCTCATAAAAATCTGCACCAGCAGAGACGGCTCACTGTTTCACAGCTGCTGTGATGGCATCATTTTGCCCACACAGTCCATCTTTTATCAGCCTGAACAGATGCAAGTCAGAAGGCAACAGATCCAGACTATACAGTGTCTGTGGCAGGACAGTCCAGTCAAGATTGGCAGTGTACTCCATGATCTTCAGGCTGGTCTAGGGCCTGGCATTATGATGTTTCAAGAGAAAGATGTTCTTCTTCTCTGACCTGACCGTGGAAGTTTGAGCCTTCAACTTAGTCAGCTTTGCAGTGTGGCGATCAGAGCTGATGATTTGTCTGAGTTCCAGAAAATCCAGAAGAATCACTTTCCTATCCCAAAAGACAGTGCACATGACAGTGTCTTGAACTTTTTGCTCAGTGAGAACTTCATGTCACCATTCCATGCATTGCTATTTTGACTCCAACTCATAGTGGTGATACTACATCTCACCACTGGTAATTATGTGATTCAGGAAATTGTCACCTTCAGACTCATATTGATTCAATGGGCACTGACAAACATGCATACAGTGTTTTTTCTGTTTCTGTGTGAGCTTTCATGGGACCCACCTGGCACAAACTTTGTGATATTCCAGCGTAGCCATAATTGTTTCCAACAGATTGAAGCTGATATTCAGCTATATACACAGATCCTTCGTTGTAATCCACTGATTGGTGTGGTTGAGCTGATTGAGACCCTCTTAATTTTGTGCTGTGAAAGCTATGCATGGCCATCCAGAATGTGGGTTTTCTTTCACATCGCTGTCACTGCTGCTGAAATGTACCACCCATCATCTCACTGTGCACTGTGCTATGTTTGATCTCCATAAGCGTTTAGCAAGCATCAATCGTGTCAGTGGATGCCATTTTTTCCTCATTGAGGGATTTAGGTACACACCTTTTCTTCATCCATGCTTCCACATCAGATGCCATTTTGTTAGACTGCTCTTCTACTGCCATCTGTCACATAGCAACAAAACATAATGGGACACTGGTGGGAAGGTTTAACCTCTACTGCTGTACCACCATCTGCCTCTGATGTTGTGGAACAACATCATAACACAGAGGGCATTACTTTCAGAGCAGCCCTTGTATTTATTGGTTTCCAGAATGAAACACACATAAATATTGAAGTTAACTATATAGGCAGAAATGGAAATCTTCGAATTATGAAATTAGGGGTGTTGGAGTAAGTATGTATTTACAGATTTTTCTGTTACTAAATGAACTTTTTCTTTTTTTCTTCCAGTCTGCTCCCAATATTCTAGAGGAGTTTTTGCCATTTTTGGACTTTATGATAAGAGATCAGTACATACCTTGACCTCATTCTGCAGCGCCTTGCACATCTCCCTCATCACACCAAGTTTCCCCACCGAAGGTGAGAGTCAGTTTGTGCTGCAGCTGCGGCCATCGCTGCGGGGAGCCCTCCTGAGCTTGCTGGATCACTACGAATGGAACCGCTTTGTCTTCCTTTATGACACAGATCGAGGTGAGTTGTAACCACTTTTATTATATTAGTTCCATTGGCTTTTGCAGGAACTGTGCATTTTTATATGGCATTGAGAGCTTGGGGAGTCAAATTTAAAAGCTCTTCCATTTTAAATACCTTTCTCTGAGCAGCTCTGTCGCTGAAGGAAGAATTCCTTCATCTGCAAACGCTGGACAGTGCATGCAAATAGTAATCAACCAGCCGAAGCTTGCACTTCAAGTCTAGAATAATAAAACATTTTAATTAATGTTAGTGAAATAAAGACACAGTTCAATAAGCAGAATTGTACAGCTCAGTTCACTTTTCAGATCACTTCATAAGTGACAGCAGTAGCAAGAAGTGGAGAGGGCTGACCACTTCTCTGCTGCACCTGCACCAATGTGAGCTGAGAAGTGAGCAACCCTCTCATGCCTTTGGAGATCAGAACAGGCTCACGAAATGCATGATCCTTAGGCTGCAGCAGAGAAATGACAGGTGATACGGAGAGGACATGGCAGCAGCCTTTTCCATGTGCTACTCCTTTCATCTGGAGTTTCTTCTGTGGTCAACTATACTTTTATAAGATTTATAATGCATTGCAAAAGGCTACACTTTTTATTTGCGTTCTCCATTCCAAACTGCAGAGCATTTCAGAGCTTTTGAGTGGTAGAAAACTATAAGTGCATTACTGCATTTTGTCATTTACTGCCTAATTGAGAAGTAAAATCTCAGGTTCTCCATGTTATGTGTTCACTCTGGTGGCAAAGCATTTTGCCTTGGCGTATGGAAGGGGATTTGGCCAACATGGCTGAGCTTCTGGGAAAGAAGCAAGATTTTTATGTTGATGGCTTACTTTCAGGGGAAAAGTGATGCATGGCTGTAGTCAAATAATTATTTTACTACAGCCATTTCACTGTAGCTGCCCATATAGATAGACTATTCTGAAGTGGCTTTATTCCAGAGTCATTATTCTGCAGTAGAAATAGGAAATCATACTGACCTAACTAAATCTGTTTAATTATTTCATTATGGCTATAGAAGTCAATTTTCTGGTATACACAATCACTAAATTTTAGTGAGTTTTTAGTGAGTTTTTAGCACTGCATAAATACCTGAACTTAAATAAAAAAAATAAAAAGGGCTTATATTGTTCTGTAATTGCTGGTGTTTTTTTTATTTTTAAGCTAATCTGTTGGTTCTGTTTGTAAGTTTGTTTGTTTGTTTGTTTGTTTGTTAGTTTATGTTTGCTGGTTCAGTAAGGGAAGTTTTGGCAAGCTGTTGTGTTAGAGGACAACATATTGAGTGATGCCCAGTTTGGCACTGTAACTCCAGTCACCTTCAATATATGAACTACCACAATTACTGATTCACAAATAGCACACTGCCTAATTCATCTAGCAGTGTTCCATGAACTTATTCACAGCCCCCTCATTATTTGTCTAGCAGTGCTATATCGGAACTAGCACAGCTAGATCAGTGAAGGAATTTTGGCCATGGCCAATAAGAACTAACATAGCTACCTTAGTGAATGGTGCATTTCATTAGCAACTGGTTACAGGTTCTTGTGGATTGCCAGCGATAATTCACTGTCTGCAAAGCTTGAGTGTAACCAAAAACAATGCAAAGCATGTGCAAAGAGCTAACAGCAGTACACCCTGGCCAGAAGCACACTAAAAATTATAAAACAAACTTTACAGTGATTACTGCATTTCCCAGGGAAGCACTCAGCATTAACCAAATGTGTGAACCATACCAATTGGTGTCCCTACGGGCAGGAAGAAGGACTTGGCCTGTCAACTGATCACAGATGTATGCAGGTGTTCTACCAACTTGTCTGACATGGTATCTTCCTTAATCTTTCCCTCTCTTAAGCCATTTTTATACTATTTCTTACTATACAGGTGGAACTTGAGTTACTCTGGTCATATATACCTTTCTTCTGATTGGTATAAAATTCTCTTATTTCACTTTTAAAAGTACAGGTTAAAAAATCCAAAAATCCCTTAGTGAGGGGTGGTTGCAACTTGAAGATGGATAGCTTTTGAGATGGAGGTGTATTTGGGCATTATAATGAGTGTATGACCAAAATTAACCCAGAGCATGGCATTTTGTAAAACAAAAGTGACAGACTTTTGGCCTGGGGCAGCAGGTGGTTTTATGAGTGCCTTGGCTTCTCTAAGTCCCATCCCAGCATTGTTCTTCCTAAAGTCAGTGCATCACATTCTCTTGATGTCACCAACAACTAAGGTTGCCTGGGGAACTACTATGGATTACAGAACTTGGACACAGTGTCTTCACTCTGCTCTACCTTTGTGCTATTTAATGGCTTTCCATTGTTTTTGTACCCCTATGAACAGTCTGTACCTTAGTTTTAATGAACAGGGTTATACCTTAATTTTCAAGTTGCCTGTAGCAATTATTCCACATTTTAGAACATGCTAGATAACTATAAAAAAGAGAAAAAATGATGAATTTAAAAGTGTTCTTATTTGAGACATCATAATGGGGAACAAGTAAACAAGCACACAGTTACAGATGTGATCCTATAAGTTGAACAAATTGTCATGAGAAGAAGAGCAAAACCAGCAGTCTCTTTTCTTATCTAAATTCACATGCTTAATTAGATTGAGGCATCAGTTTTAAGCATGCAATATCACACCAAGGCCAATTTCAGAATATCATCTATAACACTGTGGTCAATAAACAATTCTTATGGCAATAAACTCAGCAATTCTGAACTCATCAGTGTGTCTGATAAAGAGATGACATTTGCCATGTATATGGAGATTGGATTTTCTCTCAAAATTTGAATAGGTCTTGTGACTCCATTTAATGCAGGAGAAGGTAAGGTGTGATGTACCTTTAAGTATTAGGATAACTGTAAAGATATAATAATTTTCACTACCACTCCACAATACAGTTTTGAATAGGGAGCTCAGATACAATATGAAAAAAAAAAAAAAAAGAGTAAATATAATCTTTAAATTTAGTGTAATCAGGAAAAAAAATCATTGCACTTGAATCACAATAGGGTTTCTGTGAGACCGGAACTTAGTCACATCCAGATTTTTGCCAAAGAACCTTCCTTTCCATTCCAGACATATCCCCATCTCTCCAAGCAGCTCCATCTAGCCAAGCTGCAGGGATGGGAACAACTGTTATGTCTTCTTTTTTACATTAAGCCCACAAGTTTCTCTCTGCAGCTTAACCAGAAAGCTATAAATAAATTCTTATGCAGGAAGGTAAATAATAAGCATACAGCCAGACGCAGTTGTTTTTTAGGAAGAAGGCAGCATTCAGCAGTGTTGTTTTCAGACTTGCTTTGCCAGCCTTTCCATCGTACTTGCCTCTCTTCTGTTGCATGTAGCTCAGTTCTTAGAGGGTGAACAACTGACTTCTTTGACCAAGGTGGGTTTCTCTGTTGTATCGCTCTGTTCATCTCTGGACAGACCCTCAGCTCCCTGTAAAACTACAGCCTTTTTGCTACTGAAATGCACTATCACTGCAGTTCTCCAAGTCACTGTCACACGCTGCACTTGGGTTTATGCCACGAAGTAGTCTTGGCGCTCACAAATTCCAGTGAGTTGGTAGCTCTAGCCAGTATGTTAAATCTCCTTTTCTGAAATTCTGCCAGACTTGCAGTCTGAAAAATCACTGTCCTGTGACAGAGTGTAGATAGTACAAAGAACAACATAGCTACAAAATGAATTGTAAATAGCAAGGGATGTTACAGAAAAGGAAAACAGGTTTTGCAAAAGACATCAGGTCTGATGAAATATGTAACTTGTTACTTAGCGGGGAAGGTGAGCAAATAAGAAGTGAGGCTAAAGCCTCGTGGACCCTTTGGTTTCAGTACATCCTCCTTTCTCCTACCCTCCTCCTATAAAAGGGTTTAATTATTAACCAGAACTCAATACAATTTCTGTTAACTGCAGTAAATATTAACACCAAAGTTCTGGAAAAATGTACAGAAACGGGAAAGAGCAGGCTGAAGAACACTTAGCTGTAACTCAGCTGACAAAGCATAACAAAGCATGACAATGGTAGTGTAAATTGAAAGTCATGCCTCCTTGAGAAAAGAGGGAAATCCTATGGAGGCGAAGTTCTCTGTTGTTATTTGTTGTCAGCTCTAAAGGGAGAGAAATGAAGGGGCCAAACAGGCAGACCAGTGGAATATTGGGGTTACGTATGTTCTTTTCATTGTGACTGAGAGGCATTTCTTTCAAAAAGAGACATACAATCATAAGGAGATTTGCATCTGAAAATTAGCAGGGGAGTTTTGACTTGGCTCAGGTGCTCCTGCAGAGTTTTGCTGGTTGATAATGGTAATTTCTAGCATCAGAAAGCAAAAGCCGGAGCCTAAAACCACAAGAAGTCTGGAAGAGTTTGGGTGAAGTGTGAGAATCTGTTTTAGAGTCTTCTGCAGGCTTGTGTTCTTTGTGCTGTACACAGCCTTCCCGAGAGCTGGAATGTTATCAGTTGCTGGTAGAACTGTGGGCATTGCCCAGCTCAGGGAGCTGGGGCTGGAGCCCAGAGGGCTGCAGGGCTGCACAGAAAAGTGAGGAGGACAGCAGCCAGTAGGCTGGAAGGGCTTCCACCAAAGTAAATCAGCCACTCGAATCTAACGCTGTTTCCCAGCAAGAGTTGTCAGCCGCTGACTGTGACTAAAGAGCTATAGCAGGAGCTGGAGCTACCAGCTGGCCTAACAGTTGGCTACGCAGAGACTGTAAAATAGTTATTGTTCTCTTCTAGAAATTAGGCATTGTCCGTGAGCCTGTTTACGTACCTTGTTGGATTTTTTTTTTTTTTTTTTTTTTTTTTTTTTTTTTGCTTTTCTCCTTTTAATTACATAGTTTTCATTAAACCAACTCAGTCATGGTTGCAGGTAAGAAAAAATCAGCTCAGTGTGCACAATATGAATTTAATTTCCCCAGATTGCTGCAAACTGCCTTTATAGCAACTCCTTTAAAGTTGGAGCAATTGCATTTTATGAAAATCTAAACCTGGCAGTAGGGTTAGAG